CTGTGGGAAGGCGTGGGACCTGTGGAGCAGGAGGGCGTCAGACGTGCCCGGGAGAGGTGGGCAGGCAGGGCTGTGGGAGTGGTGCAGGCCTTTCCTCTACCTTTTCTTTTTTTTTGGAGGGGGGTGGGGCCTGAACTCTGGGCCTGGGCGCTGTCCCTCAGCTCTTCAGCTCAAGGCTAGCACTCTACCACTTGAGCCACAGCGCCACTTCCAGCTTTTTCTTTTTTTTTTTTTTTGCTTATGTAGTGCTGAGGTATCGAACCCAGGGCCTCATGCATGCAAGGCAAGTGCTCTACCACTGAGCCACCTTCCCAGCCCTCCTCTATCTTTTCTTTCAGTGCATTTTTCATCTTTCCTAAGTCAGAAAATGCTATTAGGTTCTCTGAAGAACCTGTGATGTGGTTCTGATTAAAGCTATGCTAGGTGCCTGTGGTTCATGTCTATAATCCCAGCTACTAAGGTGGCTGAGATATGATGATCGTGGTTCAAAGCCAGCCTGGGCAGGAAAGCCCATGAGACTCTTTTATCTCTAACCACCAAAAAGTGGGAATTGAAACTGTAACTCAGGTGGTAGAATGCTAGTCCTGAGCAAAAGAGCTCAGGGATAATGCCTAGGCCTTGAGTTCAAGCCTTAGGACTGGCGTACATACGATATGTTAATATCTTCTGTGTGTGTGTGTGTGCGTGCGTGCGTGCGTGCGTGTGCGTGCGCGCGCACACGTGTCCGGCGTGCCTGCCTGCGTGAGCATGCACCAGCCTCAGGGCTTGAACTCGGGGCCTGGGTACTCTCCCTTAGCTTTCTCACTCAAGGTTGGTGCTCTACCACTTGAGCCACACCTCTACTTTGGCTTTCTGGTAGTTAATTAGAAATAAGAGTCTCAAGTCTCACGGAGTTTCCTGCTCAGGCTGGCTTTGAACCCGGATCCTCAGATCTCAGCCTCTGCGTAGCCACCACCCTGGGGCAAATGTCTCATCCTTCCTCACTGCCCCTTGCCTCCCCTTCCAACCACAGGCCTGGCCCTGATTACCTGTGCCACGCCCCTGAGCTCTGCCCAGGCCTTTAACTCTGAGTGCACCACTGTGCTCCCCCTCCTGTGCCCCCAGGTTAGAGCAGGCTGACCTCATCGTGGCGGTGCTGGACGTCTCTGACCTAGCTTCTCCCCAGAGTCGCGATTTTCTGGACAGCATCATCGCCTCCCACGGAGCTCGGGGCCTCACTGGTAGTGGCCAGCGCCTCCTGCTGGTCCTGAACAAATCTGACCTGCTGCCCCCTGAGGGTCGGAGTTCCCGTCCATCCCTGCCTCCCTATCTCCTGCTGTCCTGCCGCACTGGAGAGGGTCTGGGCTGCCTCCTGGAAGCCCTGAAGAGGGAGCTGGCTTCAGTGTGAGTCTCCCCTGAGTCACCAATGGGGGTGCTGCCTGGCCCAGAGCCTCAGTTTCCTTACCTGTAAAGCAGCTACAGGCGCTCCTCTTCGGTAAGGGCTAAGGGAAATCGCTGGTCTTGTCTCTGCAGGTGTGGGGACCCAGCCACGGGCCCACCGCTGCTCACACGAGCCAGGCACCACTACCACCTGCAGGGCTGCCTGAAGGCCCTGGGCCACTACAAGCAGGCAGGAGACCTGGCCCTGGCTGCCGAGGCCCTGCGCGTGGCCCGGAAGCACCTCGCCCACCTCACCGGTGCGGGGGGCACAGAGGAGATCCTGGACGTCATCTTCAGGGACTTCTGTGTGGGCAAGTGAAGCCTCATCAAGGCCCTCTGCGGTCCTCATGCCCCTCGGGCTGTGAGCTCCCTTCGGGCCTTTGCGGGCATTGCGGGTGTGGTGCTGGGATCCCCAGGATTGTGCATGCTCCGCACATGTACCCCTCTGAGTGGTACCCCAGCTGTGTGTGCCTGTGCGTTGGGTGGGGAGGGAATTCTGCCCCAGTCTCAGGAGAGCATGAGACGCCGAGTGGAAGCCCAGGTCTGCCGTGGGCTCCTGACGGGCTCTGACCAGGGCCCCCTCTGCAGTGGACACCATGAAGGACCGACACCAGACACCCAGCAGCCTGGCTCCTGCCTGCCCCTCCTCAGAGGCACACACCCCGCCGCAGCCCTGGGCCTCCACCCCGAAAGGAAGGTGTTTGGGGAGCCTTTGGTAGCAGTGAGCAGCCAGCAGAGGGCACCCCATCCGCACTGGAGGTGCCCGGCCTGCCGTGAATGGAGAACTCCCTCACGGAGGTTCCTGCAAAGCCTGCATGCAGAGGGGCGCTCTGGCCGCAGCGGGGGTCTTGGTGGTGCTCATTCATCTGGCAAATAAACTGACACTGGAGAAGGAGGGCTTGGCTGCGTCCTGGGCCGGGTGCGGTGCCGTGGTGAACACAGCCTGGCGCAATGGGGCCCTCGGTTCCTACCCAAGGCAGAACAATAGGATGTGGTGGGCTGAGGGGGGGCTGCAGCGCACACAGCTGGACCCAGGGCCCGGTTTCCAAGAAGGCCCGGTGGCTTGTGGGAAGCAGCAGGGGATATTTATAGAGGTCACAGGAAATCCCCGCAGCAGCGTGGGGTCAGGAATCTGCCAGTGTCTCCTGGCTGACTCCTCGGCCCTCCACCAGCCCACAGAGGGCACCAGCCTGCAGGGCACTGCCCAGCAGGGCTGCCTGGAAGAGGGGTCTCCAGCTGGCCCCTGGCAGTCTCCACCTAGACAAAGGGTGTCTGAGTGGCCGTACCTCTAACTCTGCCCTGAAGAGGCAGGAGCAGCTGTTGTAGAGCCCACAGGTCCTGTGTTCCAGACGTGTCCAGACTCAAATCTTGGCATGGTCTGTTTCAGTCCATTTTCTCACAATCAGAAAGAAAAGGGAAAGGACTGGAAAAAGCAGATTTGAGTCTGCTGGGATCATCCACATGGACAGTCCAGTGGGAGAGCCATGTGGACACCTATGCAGGGGGTGGGGCACGGGTGACGGAGCCGTGGAGGGGTGGGCGAAGGAGCATGGCCTAGTCCTGCCATGGAAAGGGCCGGGCCAGGAGCTGTGCCGCAGGGGTCTGGCAGGGGGCCGCCGGGCCCTGGGATGCTCTAGGTGACAGACGGGTTATGGGGCCGACGCTGCTGTCGGGGGACCTTCGGGATATCATGACTTGTCTGGAGATGGCGTCTCCCTCAGGCTGTGGTGAACCTCCAGCTTTAGGGTCACCAACACATTTCTTGGATGAGAAGCTAGGCTGCTTGGCTGAGCCCAGACTCAAACCTCAGATGTGTAACTCCAGGGCCCATAACCAGCCTGGCCAGCATCCCAGGGCCGTCTGGGCCTCCGGCCCAGGGTCAGAGACGCCCTCATTTCCCTGGGGCCTCTGGCGGCTGCGGGAGGTGAGGCCTGGCCCGGCCGAGCCCCAGCCAAGTGCTTCCTGCAGGACGTCTCGCAGTTTCCGTACACCGGAAATAGCGCCTGGTCCCCCCAAGATGGGCCTGGCCTGAGTGCTGGGCTGGGCTGGGGCTGCTCCCGAGCTCATCCTGGCCCTGTGGAGCCCAGGGAGTGGGTCGCACCACGATCTGCCTCCTTTATAGAGCCTCTCTCCATACGGCCATTGGCTTTGTCTCCTGCGCTTTTTACTTCTCAGGGATAGAGATCCCAGACACTGGGTCACTTGGCCTAAGACTACTTTGTGACAGCCTCACTCTGCGGCCCACGTGGTCTGAAACTTGGGATCCCCTGCCTCTGGCCCCTGTGACCACAGGTGTGGCCAACGCCTATCAGGGCCACAAAGGGCAGACAGCCTCTGTGAGCCCGGTTTCTTCAGGGCCGGGTGCGGTCTCTGTCCACTCAGGGCTAGTGTTCTACCATGTGAGCCACAGCTCCACTTCAAGATAAACAGTCTCATGAATTTTAATGCCTATCGTGACTATGAATACTTTTTCTTTTTTTTTGCCAGTCCTGGGGCTTGAATTCAGGGCCTGGGCACTGTCCCTGAGCTTCTTTGACTCAAAGCTAGCGCTCTACCACTTAAGCCACAGCGCCACTTCTGCATCTGTGTATATGGTACTGAGGAGTCGAACCCAGGGCTTCCCGCATGGGAGGCCAGCATGCTACCGCTGAGCCACCTTCCCAGCCCCACATTCCTGCTTCTTGTAAGAAATGCACGGTCGGGCATGGCAGCCACTCCTGTGACCCCAGTGGCCAGGGCAGAGGCAGACTGGCCTGAGGCCACAGCCTCTCTCTGGCACTTGCTGACGGGCTTGACTCAGTTCCCCTGCACCTGTCCAGGTGCCTGCGAGTTGGGGGTCATGAGGGTTGCCCCAGTTTCCTGGTTCGCTTCCCTCCTGTGCTGTGGCCTTCAGAGCAGAAGTTACCACATAGTAAGGGATTTGCTACTGTTTATTAAGTGCTGGGAGGAGGGAGGTTCCTCAGGGCTCCTCTGAGACCCTCATGCCAGACCAGACCCTCCTGGCAAGGGGTTCTGGAAACTCTCGAGGGGGAGCCTGGAAACCTTCAAGAAGGGCCTGGAAACTGGAGGAGGTGGAAGCCAATGGCTTCCTGTTCTCACCTCCCCACCAGGCCCGGGAGATAAGGAAGCTGGGGGTGGGGCGGGGCTGTGCAGCAGGGGTGGGGGGAGGTACGTGTGAGGGCGCACCGCGGAGGCTGTGTCTGCTGCTGACGTCATGGCCATCGCGATGTGGTCACGGGATCGGATCCAGGGAGGGCGGCCCTGGCCCGGCGGGGCTCCTCAGCCACTGAGGCAGAGAGAAGGGATGCGGCTTGTCAGGACTGACCTCCCCGGCCCGTCCTCCCAACGAGACCCCCAGCCTCAGCAGGGGCTCCAGAAGTCTCCATCGACCCCCCCAGACCCTCCGGCCTGAGTGGGGGGGCCCCAGAACTCACAACTTGCCCTTTGCGGACACAGACAACAGGGCTGGCTCGTTCCCAGTTCCTAGCGGGCATGCCCAGCTGCTGCGCCCTCCAGGGATCCCAGAGCCCTCAGAAAAGGGGGGGACTGGCACATGAGGTCCTCCCGGCCAGGGAGTCACCGTCCCGTCCCGGAGCCCCCTGTCTCCGCGTGGCTTCAGCTTCCGTCCGCCCCTGAGGCCTGGCACGAGCCCCCTCCTCCCCCCAGAGGGGCTGGGGCTGCTTCCTGGTGGGGGAGGAGGGCCCAGGGGCCAGGTCCTGCTTCCGTGCCCCCTCCCTTCCTTCCCTGCTGGTCCCTAGGGCCCCCTGGGCCTCACGTTCCATCAAGAGCTGGCAGAGCTCCCCTCCCTGGCTCTGAGCCCATGCTCCTGAAACCAGGCCTGTGCCCACCACAGCGGGCTGCCCTGGCACGCAGCTCTGCTCGGCCAGGCCTACCCTCATGCGCCCCAGTTTGAGCTTGGCCATCGGAGAGAGCCCGGGACCAGCCTAGGACTGGCGGTATGTCCTGGCCTCCCATGCACCGGAGTTACAGGACAGCCACCAATTCTGTGGGGTGTTTTTAACTTTAAAGTGTGTGTCCAAACTGCAGCCACTCTATATATTACTTTTTTTCTTTGTTGGTCATGGGGCTTGAACTCTGGGCCTGGGCGCTATCCCTCAGCTCTTCGGCTCAAGGCCACGCTCTAACACTTGAGCCACAGCACCACTTTCAGTTTTCTAGTGGTTTATTGGAGATAAGAATCTCACAGACTTTCCTGCCTTGGCTGGCTTTGAACCTCGATCCTCAGATCTCAGCCTCCTGAGTAGCTAGGATGACAGGTGTGAGCCACCGGCACCCAGCTATACTACCTTTATTTTATATTTTTTTTTGGGGGGTGTAGTTGTGGGGCTTGAACTCAGGGCCTGGGCACTGTCCCTGAGCCTCTCTGTACTCAAAGCTAGCACTCTACAACTTGAGCCACAGTGCCACTTCTGGTTTTGGAGTGGTTAATTGGAGAGAAGAGTCTCATGGGAGCCGTGGCTCTCATCCTAGCTACTAAGGAGGCTGAGATCACTAAAGAGGCTGAGATCTGAGGATCACAGTTCAAACTCAGCCTGGGCAGGAAAGTCCATGAGACTCTATCCAATAAACCACCTGAAAAACAGAAATGGTGCTGTGGCTCAAGTGGTAGAGGGCTCACCTTGAGCTGAAGAGCTGAGGGAGAGCACCCAGGCCCAGAGTTCAAGCCCTATGACTGACTCAAACAAAAAGTCTCACGGGGACTTTCCTGCCCAGGCTGGCTTTGAGCTGTGATCAGCTTTGAGGCTGTCTTAGCTTCCTGAGTAGCTAGGATGACAGGTGTGAGCCACCAGCACTCAGCTATAATAATGAACTTTAAGCTGTCTAGGGACACAGCTCCAGCAGGTAACGTGGTGTATGCCAGTCACAGCAGAGGATGTCTCCATGTCCAGGGAGGTGGTGCCTCGGCCCAGACCCCTGATCCTGCTCAGCAGGGGGCAGAGGCCAGAGGACAACATTCCAGACCACCCCCAGCACACATCCAAGACCTGAACCAAAACACAGCTGACATCACAAAAAGGCTGGCAGAAGCCTTGACTTCAAAGCCCAATGCTACAAAACTGTCCAACGAGGAAGAGCCCCAGGTCAGATGGTGGAAAAGCACAGGCTGGGGACGGGGAGGGCAGGGGGAGCTGGGGGCTGGTGCCTCCTCCCGGCTCAGACCCGTGAAGGAGTGCCGGCTGGGACCTGGCCCTGCGGTGAGCCATCGGGAGTTGATGTGCTTAGTTGGGTTCTGCGGGCACAGCTGCTCTGGAGGCTGAGGCTAGAGACCCCAGGAATCCAGGAGTTCAGAGGTTACCTGGGGCCACACAGTGGGGCCTGGTAAACTGGGCACTGAGCTTAGGCAGCTAGGGCTGGTCCCCTTGTTGCCCAGCAAGCCAGCAGTGTGGTCCTGACCCTGGGCCTCTCCCGCCCCTCCCTGGAGTCAAAGGCCAGACTGGGCCCTTCCTGCCACCCTGAAGGGAGACACAGGAGAGGCCAGGGACTAAGTGAGCATTGTTTTCTGGGCAAGGGACGTCATTCGGGGTAAACAATGTCAAGAGCTTCCCCGGTTCTCAGCAGGGACTGGGCAGGCCTGGGCTGGGAGCCCTGCCCTGTGCCTGACCCTCGGGGCCTCAGTTCCCAGCTCTGAGAAATGGGGCTAATAATAGAAGCTCTTCCTTGCCACGGGCCCCACACGCCAAGCAGGAACGGGAAGCCATCCTCATCACTGACTCTCCTCCCCGCCGCCCTCCAGCCCCCAGAGCGGCCCTGGGCAGCACAAAGGGGCGAGGGGCAGTTCTGGGCAGGCCAGAGGGTCAGGGGCCACTCTTAGCACAAGGGGGGCTGAGGCAGGAGCAGGGGTGAAGAGCTAGCGGAGGCCACAGCATCTCCCTGGAATGCGGGTCAGCGACCCCGTGAGTGTGGAGCTGAACAGGAGCCGGGACCTGGGGGGGCACAGGGTGACCTCGGGCAGTGGCCTGAGTCACCTACTCTGTGACATACAAGCTGTGCCCAGCGGACGGAGATGAGGTGGTGCGGACGCCGGGGCTGGGGGACACGCCCTTCAGGCGCGCCCAGGCCCTGGGCCTTTCTTTGGCCAGGCTTCACCGCGCAGCCCGGCAGGTCTGGAACCTGGACCCTCTGTCTCCCCCTTCCCAACGTCTGGCACAGCCGGCCACGACTCCCTCAGTGGTCAGATGTCGCACTCAGCTCTGGCTGCCTCCCTGCTCCTCCCAGGCTCTGGGCCTTTGTCCTGACTGTTTCTGCAGCCCGGAGGACTGTCCCCCAGTTCTTAGAGGGGGTGCAAAGCCAGCTGGTCATGATGGCCATGCCGCTCGCAAGGCTGAGGCAGGAGGAAGGCTGGCCCGGGCTACACAGTAAAACCTCCTTAAAACAGAAAAAAGAAAGAAAAGCCGAGTGCTGAGGGTCATGGTTCAAAGCCAGCAGGGGCAGGAAAGACCATGAGACTCATCTCCAATAAACCACTCAGAAAGCTGGAAGTGGCGCTGTGGCTCAAGTGGTAGAGCACCAGCCTTGAGCTGAAGAGCTGAGGGACAGCGCCCAGGCCCAGAGTTCAAGCCCCACGACAGACAAAAAAAGAAAAGAAAAGAAAAGAAAAGAAAAGAAGCCACCACCGGAGGCTCACGCCTGTCATCCCAGCTACTCAGGATGCTGAGATCTAAGAGGACTGGCAATCAAAGACAGCCCAGGCAGAAAAATCCACACCAGATTATCACCAGCTAATCAGCAAAAAAAAGTCCAGACTGGAGGTATGGCTCATGTGGTAGAGCACCAACGAAGAGCAGAAGAGCCAAGTGAGAGCGGGAGGCGCAGAACCAGTGCACATGCCCAAAAGCAAAGCAACCGTGGGTTCACGGCAGGTGCCTGATCCGCGGGGGCTCGAAGCTTGCCTGACCAGCCTTGCTCATGGCTGGGCCTGCTGGGTGTGCCCTGGGCAGAGCTGGACATGCCCACAACAGCAACTAGACCTACGCCCTGCACAAGCCCTGGCAGACGGGAGATGCTCAGGAAGGAAGCAGTCACTCTGAGAGCTGCCTCTCTTGGGCCTTCTCTCGTCTGCGGCCTGAGAGCAAACACTTCAGCCTCCATGGGCCTCACCTGGCGGGGGCTGCAGGAGGCCGGTAGGACTGCAGGACCTTCTTCTTGAAGTCTTCCAGGCTGGCTGAGTCTGTGTGGGCAGAAATGAAGCTCAGCTCCCTCCGGGGGCCCCCGTGGCTCTGGGTGGAGGACCCCGTCCTGACCCCTCCCCGGCACTCACCGATGGATCGCGGCTGGGGGGCGGGGGCTACGGGTCTTGGCAGGACCACCGGCGGGGTCTGTGGAAGGGGGAGGAGTGTTGGAGCCACATTGGGGGGTGTCTTCCCCTTGGTGCCCCTAGGAGACCACTTGTCCTGTTTCCCCCCAGCGCCCCTAATAACTCCAAGCCAGGGGGCGCACAGGGAGCCTGAGCTGCAGAAACAACTGTGGGATTGAGGGGGGTCAATAACAGGTCACCCCCGCCTCCATTCTCCGGACCCTCAGGGCCTCCACTCAACTCCACCCCAAAAGGTCTGTTCTCTGTTCCGGCCCCAGCCTGCGGCCCACCTTGGCCTTGAGGCAGGTGTCCAGGGCGTCCACCCGGAAGGCCACCTGCATCTTCAGCTGGTCCACCTCGCGCCTGCGCGCCTCCAGCTCGCGGGCCAGGCGGTCGCGCTCGGCCTGCAGCGCCGCCTTCTCCTCCAGGGCGCGCTGGGCG